GGGGTGCAGTCTGGGAGGATGGGGAGACCCAGGGAATGGGGTGCAGTCTGGGAGGATGGGGAGACACAGGGAAAGGGGTACAGTTTGGGAGGATGGGGAGACTGAGAGAACGGGGTGCAGTCTGGGAGGATGGGGAGACCCGTGAGAATGGGGTGCAGTCTGGGAGGATGGAGAACAGAGCCCAGGGACCTTCAGGGCAGGATGTTGTGAGGGACTGAGTAAATCTGACCAGCTGGTATAGAGCTCAGTACGATGGGGCAGTGGTTAGGGATGAGCTGGTCCTAACCAATGCTTTCAGCCAAAGCTGGCAAAGAATAAGAAGGGAATAGGAGACGCTAATCAAAGCGGAGTTTCGAGACCCTTCCAGAGCCTGTCGTATCTTCTCAGGACAGCCTTACAATCCCCAGTTCCTCTTCCACAACGCGGCCTCCAACATCATCTGCTCCATTGTGTTTGGCAACCGCTTCGATTACAGCGACGAGGCGTTTGTGCGTTTGCTGCGCATCATGAATAACAACGCCTACCTGACGGGATCACCCATAGCCCAGGTACAGTACGCAGTAGTTACCTGTCCATAATCACAGGACCCTACACTGCGGTGTGGTTTCTAGTTGTCATACACCTACAGCTACTGCATAAATCAAGTTGTCTGTTTCGTGTATTTTTCTGTCTGTATAACCAAAATGAGGTTTTGAATCATGTCATAATCACATATGATATTTGTGTAAGATTCCAGTCTTGGGTTAGAATCTTTACACAAGACAACTACACTTCAACGCTGGTATAAATAAAAGGTTCAGATCTTATTCACGCTTTGTTGAATAAACCAGAAAGTCTACTCAGATGTTCCTGTAGCGCTCTCCCCAGTCGTCTCCCTCTCTCTCTGCGACACATCCTTTAATACAAAGCAAACCTGAGCGGAAATCCACTCGCACTGCTGAGTCTTCATGGGTCTTCTGTATTCACCAGCTGAGCGCTGTGTGCAAATGCGTTGCTTGAGGCGGCCTCTAGTGGCAGCCCATGTGCATTGCAGTCACTATGCATGTAGCCTGGAAGTTTAAGTCAGAAATGGAGCAAGTAAAGGTTTTGCTTGAGTCAGTGTGTGAACTACCTGAGTCAGAAAGGTTTGACAAGGTTGCTGAACCAACATGACGCTGGTGCCGCCGTATGTCCCATGCTGTCATGCTCATGGACAGTGCATGGATTTGGTTCTTAGTGGTTTTCTGATGGGTGGATTCTGACCGGAGCTGTTTCTGTGTCCCAGCTCTTCAACTTGGCTCCCTTCATCAAGCACTTTCCCGGACCCCATCAGAAGATCCAGCAGAACGCCAGGGAGGTGCTGGAGTTTGTGGGGGAGGCTGTGAAGCAGCACCGTGACACCCTGGACAGGGACAACCTGCGAGACTTCATCGACGCCTACATCGTGGAGATGGAGAGGGTACAGGCTGGCTGGGGCTCTCTGACCAAATCAATAGCTTCACTTTTGTTTTTCTTAATTGTTGGGTCCTAGCAGCTCTTCCTGTAGCCTGATGGTTGACAATCAGGGGTCACGAGGGGCACCGGGCTTCTGTAGTCCACTGCAGGACTTGGGTTTATACTGATTGCATGAAGACCCGTAGCTGGTGCTGTGAATGTGACAGTCAGCTGTGGTGCATTGGTGCACCGAACACGTCCAGACAGCACATGGTGTTACTGGACAGATGTTCAGGTGGAGTCAGGGTCTAGTATCGCACTTCCACTTCTTCGTGCAGAAAAGCCCCCAGCTCGAACCCGCCTCAGCCACACTGCATCGTCTCGAGCACCCCTCCCTGCACCCCATAATCACCATTGCAGCAGCTCCCCCTGGCTGAGACCCCCCTAAGTGGGTGGGGGATGTGAGGGTGCTGGTCTTTGCCCAGAGGAATCCAGGGCACTATGCATGTGGCTCTCTGTACCTTCAGCTCGATTGGTCACTACTAGAATTTGACAGAATAGCAGCAGTGGAACAGGGTGTGCAGGCAACCATCACATCTCACTGATACACTGCAGCTTCTCCCAGTCCCTCGCCCACAAGGGAATGAAAAACACAGCCAGCACGGAATGACAGAGGAAGGGTTTAAAATGCAGGACACTCCAATGAAGAGGAACGGGACAGCCTTGATACAGAAAGCGAAACAGTGGTTTTTAAAGATACTAACTGTAGATAAAGTGCTACACCGGCTGAGAAGTTGGGTGACTTTTTGCAGCAGCACAAATTAAACTTAAGGGCAAAGGGAGAAAACCACAAAAGCACTTGAAGCATCCTACACAGTTAATTACCTAATAGCTAAATCTGAAGAGCCACAGTCAATCTGAGAAATGCTTGTTCTTCCTACAGAAGTAGCAATGTGTCCTATTTCACTTGGAGATCAATTTGCAGTGTTGCATGTTTCTTTGTGCACTCACTGGTTGCAGGAAGCATTGACATGATTTCTACTGATCTAAAGTCCGGCAGAGCCCCAGATCTGCTTTGCAAATGGACAGCTCCTCAGACATATCTGGTTCAGCTCCGGTGTTTGTAAGATTTGCAATGCGGGCAGAACTCCACCAGGATTTAGAATTGGGCAACATGAGCCGTAGTTCAAGCATCTCGCTTTTAAAAACCCGTTTCTGGACATTGCTTTCAACGCAGTTTTTTTTTTTTTAATCGAGCAGCAAAGGTCCAACCCAGAGTCCACGTTCTTCGAGGAGAACCTGATCATGACCATCGCGGACCTGTTCATCGCAGGAACGGACACCACGTCCACCACTCTGAGATGGGGCCTGGTGTACCTGATGGAGTTCCCTGATGTTCAAGGTCCAGGCGCTTTCACTGTCTCGTCAGACACACAGCTCCTTCTTACATTGTTCTGGAACATTACTTCTGTGCTGGAACTGCTGTACTGGCTTCCACTTGATATTCACATTAATTTAAAAAGTCTTCAGGGGTGGACGTTGCTGCCTCCCAGCACTGGGGCACTTGGTTCAACTCTGGTCGTGGGGTGCTATCCGTGTGGAGTTTGTATGTTCCCCCTGTGTTCACAGGGGTTTTGTTTCCTCTGGGTGCACCAGTTTCCCACCACACTCCAAAGACATGCCGGCAGGTTATTTGGCTTCTGGGAAATCGGGCCCTGGTGTGCGTGTCTACACCTGTTCCCTGCAGTGGACTGGCGTCCCATTCAGGGTGTATCCTGCCTCGTGCCCATTGCTTGCTGGGATAGGTTCCGGCTCCCCCACGACCCTGCATTGACTGAAAATGGAGGGATGGATCGTTAGTTTAAATTAAAAAGACATTCAGAATTTCTGCATGTTTTCTGAGTATCTTTCCAATATCTGTGAATCATGATATATTGGTTATGGCACAGTTTGCTTAAAAATGATACAACTTGGAAGGAGTGGACCACCAAAGACTTCTATGGATTTAGGGGGTCCATGGCTGTAATGGGTGAGTGTCTTGAGTTGACATGCCCTTTCGCCTCCTGCCTCTGTGTAGAAAGATGCCACCAGGAGATTGTGAGGGTCGCTGGTTACGACAGGCTGCCCTCGGTGGAGGACAGAGCTAAGATGCCGTACGTGGAAGCCACCATCAGCGAGATCCAGCGCTGTGCCAACATCGCCGCCTTTGGCATGCCACACGCCGTCACCAGAGACACCAGCCTGCACGGGTACTTCCTCCCCAAGGTAACCACCAGCACACTGCACTGAGGAGCACCGAGCGGCACTGATGAGGAATGAGCAGGTATTGAGCGGTATTGATGAGGAATGAGTGGGTATTGAGCGGTATTGATGAGGAATGAGCAGGTATTGAGCAGCACTGATGAAGCATGAGGAGGTATTAAGCAGTATTGATGAGGAATGAGCAGGTATTGGGCAGT